ACCCACACACACACACACACACACACACACACACACACAAAGACGCTAAGTGATTTTCAAGTGGCTTCTTTTTCAATGAACCAGTGTGAGGGACTACCGGCAAGGGTCAGCAGTGAGTTCTGATGAGCAGGGTAGAGAGGCAACTCTGGATCATGGCTTCAAATAACAAAGTCACACCATAGGTGGTGTTCAGCTGCAGTGCTCCCCCCTGTTTCTCCACCCCACGCACGAGAGCATCTGACATAGAAGTGAATCAAGTCATGAAATGGGAAAAGACTCCATAGGATTTTAAAAAAAACAAAAAAAAAACGTTGTACGCCATGAGGATTGTCCGGGAAGGTGTGCGTCAATGTGACTTTTGACCTCAATGGCATCAGATGTCATACAAAAACTGGAAGGTTCTTTGATTTAACCAAGCCTTTAAAAACTAAATCTCGGAATTATAACGAGTATATCGTTTAACTGTATCCAGATTAAAAGCTAAATCACCATGTATTTATTCAGTGCACAGAGAACAATACGTAAGTACAGACCGTAACAGTCATGGGCGAGTACCAATACCGGCTTTATTTTAAGGTATCGAGTACACACGAGGAGGCCGATACCCGTCACCGGCGCCCTCTTGTGGATGTATTATCAGGACTTAAATAGCATTTACGACTGACTAAATGTTTTTCTAAGTGAACTGCAATCCATGTCATTACTGTCAAATGTCCACTGAAAAAAAAAATTCTCTAACTACGTGCATGTTTATAGAGTTTGCGTTAATACCTCGCATCATTAGGGTTTTGCTACCAAAATATATACATCTCTTTGCTGAGTCAATTTCTGCATGGCTGACAGTCTTTTTGTCTTTTTAATTCCATCCATGTCCGTCCCGTCATATGCCCATTAAGATGCAATTTCTATAAGCCTGCGTATGTTTACGTTAATGCTTGGACGGCATTATTAGTGAGTTGCCAGCAAACTGTATACATTTATTGACTAACTCAGTTTGGATGGTCGGATGATTTTCTCCATTACGGTGTTTCATGCATGTACTTATTTTTACACATTTACTGCTATCATCAATTGAGAAAATAGAATGTTGTCATTATTCAGTACGTAACAAGGTCTATCTTTTTCCTGTTGAGTGGACATCGTGTGGATAATACAAAGTGCTGTACTCACTTGTTGCATAATCTTACTTACTATGAATGAATAATATTTACACTCTGGATAGTTTTATGTTCTGATATTTTGTCTTTAATTCATTTAATATTTTTTTCTTTTTTTGAATAGGTTAAAAATAAATCAATACGTATCCGTATCGACTGATATGAAATGCATTGTCATATATTTTTCAACAGTAACAACCCTGCCCCCTATTTTCCTTCTTCACCGTGCCATGCTTAACAGTTCACGGTTGAACCTGTACTATTTTCAAGGAATGACTAAAACTCAGTTTTGTTTTTACACTTTTGTTAATTTATTACAAATGAATTCTGAGTGAGTTGCTTGGTGTTTGAATTTTTTTGTGTGCGTATTGCAGGGTCACTGTCCTGTTTTTTTGTTGTTTTTTTTGTCAGAAATAAATGAAAGGCCTTTTTTAAAAAATGATCTGTCATTGCTTTATGAGAAATGGTATGCATCAAAAATAGTGGTATCAGTGACTTGGTATCTGGAAGTACTCATACCCGTTTGGAAAAAAAGTGGTTTCAAATTTCCCAAATAAATAAGGAAAATAACTAACTCACAGTTGTATCCATGCCATCCACGACTTCTGAGGTTTACACTTTCACAGAATCTAATAAAAGGCCGCCCGGTTATGCTGCAAATTAAGTCAACCGCAAAAAAGGAGCCCAAGCAAGATCGGTCAGCACTGTCAGATGTTGATCTTCAAATTCTCAATAGAGAAGCACAAGATTATTTTGCCGTCAGAAATAATCCGAAGAAAAAAGGAAAATGCAACACCTTTGCAAGACATGGGGCAATTTTACTTTTATTCTTTCAGGAAAATTCCTCCAACCATTAAAAAAAAGAAACTGTGCAGTTAATATCATAAAAAGCTAATTTACATTCACCCTTGTTCACAGTCAAATGTCACCCACACACTCACCGCATTCTGAGTGCTTTGAGCGCACAATCACACACGCGTGCACAAATGCAGGCACATAACCAGTTATGTTGACGAAATTAGGGTAAACGAATTTCTATTTAAAACGTGGAACTTTTTTTTTCCCCAAGGGTTATATCAAATGTAAACCGTAAAGGGGACTGCTATTTGAGAAAAAGGAAATGAACTATCGGGGACATCAATGATTGATGTTCTAAAACAGCTGCAGACACTTTGTACCTGAGAGAAAGCAGACTGGCGTCATTCTCTCTTCAGGTCAGGCAGCGGGGCCATGGAATGAGGTCATGGCAGCTCTGTAGGGCTTGTTGGATGCCCCATCGACTGCTTGTCACTACACTCGAAGTTCTCCTACAAATGAAACCCGTCCCGAGTGAATTCTACTGTGCACAGTATAAAGTGGCATGTGAGGAACTGGCACAAAAAGTGAAGCTCAAGCATTGAGCTTCATTGTAATCCTTCCTCACCCTTGCCTCACACGTTACGAGACTCAAATCGATTATGCAGGCCGTACCGACGGTATGTAGGCCTCGTGAATTAATTATGAGGCGTGACAGCGGAAGAGGGGGTTAAAAAAAAAAGAAAGAATGAAAATGCTTACACATTTCAGCTGTGAGATGGCCTAAAAAAGGTCAAATCGCAATGTGAATTTCATCCCTCTAAGGACTCAAACATACTCAAATATCAATGCGTTAAGTTACGTAAAATTTGAGCAAAATGCCCCATAAAAAATGCCCAATGCGAACGTTATCTTACCATGTTGATGTCCCCCAGTCTCCACTTTGCCCTAAAGTCTCTACTTGGATAACATTTGTCTTTGCTCCAAAAAGAATCAATAGAGGAAACCTTTGTTCTTTTGCCATTTTTTTCATTTGTTGGCGCATCTCGTTCCGACTGGAGTGCTGCGTCATTTTTCCCTTCAGTCAGCGCAGTGGAAAAGTGTCATACGTGTACTACGCACGTTTTCTTCGTTATCCTGCAGAAATCGGGTAGTAGCCTGGTAACTCCAATTCATTTCCAATACACAAATGCAAATAATGTGACCCCCAAAAAGTGTTTGATAACAATTGGGCACCCCTTATCATTATGGCATTGATATAAACAAATCTAATATTGACTTTCTGATTTACCCTACTGTAAATCCTCTCTCTCGCTCTTTTTTTTTTAATGACTTTATAGGCCTTAAATGAACTCACATGCCATTCAAACTCTGTACTCCTCATCTCGGCCACATGCAATTTCTTCTGTGCCTGACGGATACATCCATGCTCATAAGGCCACTGTGTTTGTGCTTTGCCACCATTTTGACCCTCCCTTCCCCATCCAAAGCCTGCCAGGCCTATCGACCCCCTTTTACAGCAGAAACCGTGCCCCGCATGCCCAGGGGGCTCTGCAGCCAACTGGAGCTCCCTGTTGTATTGTAAGTTACATCACCGGGTCGGGAAAATATGATTTAGACATCTTTAGCGAAGCTAATGTTGATGCCGCCATTTTCTAATTCGAAAAGACCTCCTTAATTCACCTCAAAGGCTTGAGATTAAACTTCAAATTCCACACATTAACGATTCAACAGTGTGCGATGATAGCAAACGGATCGATAAGTCTGTAAACGTGTATGAAAAAAGGGGATGATTCAAGCCACATACTGTGAAACATTAAAACACGAATAAAGTCGACCAATTCATTTACCTTGCCTTCGCCAGTCATAATCACACGTGCCTCGCAGGAGTGAACAGCAGCGAAACTTCCGCTTTTGACTGTGTCTCTTCAAAATAAAACCGGATGTACACACTGTACATCAATAACGTCTTTGTCATTAACTTGACAAAGTTAATGACATTTGGTCCATGATGATGCGTGACTGCTTTTTTGTACACGGGTACACTGATTTTCCCAGGCAAGAATGACTACGAAATGGTCATTATCATTATTGATCTGGGCTCAAACGTTGATCACTGCTGCCTGCTTCAAACAAAGTTTGAAGTACTTTGGATGGGGGCAGTGTAAATTGTCAGAGTTATGGTATAGTTCCATTCTGAGGGCAACTACGCACTGGATTCGCTGTCGTTATCAAGTAACCCCACGTTTGCCTTTAAGGTCAGCGGTTTCTATGGCGACTGTGATGTGTTGTATGCTCAGATAACGTACATCACAGGATTCGAGGCCAGTAACATTCTTCAGGTTTTTGTTGCGCTGCCACTCAGTGCTCAACGACGCGTTATGCAACACTGTGTGGATCGCGACAGCAAGCACGGCAGTTTGCTTTGAGCTGTTTGCCTCAAGCACTCGTGTTTAAAGAGAGGCACCCAAAGAACATATTACAATATTTTCAAAAGCATTTGGACAGATACCGTCTTCAATTTAATTAAATTAATGATTTCATTCAATCCTAAATTTGATTCATATATTATGTATGTTATATTAGCTAGTTTATTATGTATCTGATGGTCCACTCGTGAACATGGTGTGGTTGCTGAATTGAAAAAAAGTGTCAACATTTACAGCTTTTAGTAGGGAGGCCGATCCAGCCCAATAGACCAGACCGACATTTGGCCCGTTCCTCAAACAGGAGTACAAAGAGGCATTATCTGGGTGGGTGGCGGGGCGAGTTAAAGGCCTCCGCCCGCCACGGCTTTCTATGAACACGGCTCTTTCTTCCTCTTGTCTCAGAGCCTGAGCAGGAACTCGTCCTCAGGGCTCAGCCTGTCTTCCAGTCCCCCCAAGACCCCCGAGCCCAGTTTGGAGGAGGAAGAGGAGGAGGAGGCAAGGCACACACAAGCACACCAGTTGTAGCTTCCCCACACGCTCGTAACTGGAAAATCTCCGGGAAGCAGCCGTCCGTCTGGCAAGCGCACAACTATGTGTCCTTTGACGATGAAAGGTTTTGGCCTTTGTTCGCTTGACTTTGCGTTGAGTAGCTTGAGCATTAAATTCAAACATTTGTTTGAAGGTAACAGGACTTTCTCCATCAGCAGAGGAGCTTAAACCTGTCACGACAGGTTGCAGCAGGAGTTGAATTTCAAGGGGAATTACTTCTGCAAAACTGAAGAGTTTCATTACTTGGTGCCAAAAATCATTAGGTCAGACTTTACGCTGAAGTGTACTGATTTAGATGAGGATGCTTGTTTGAAAACATGCTCATAGCTTCTTGCCTGATATTTAAACAAGATACAAGTGGTTGTTTTTGGTCTAAAATCGCGACCAAAAAAAAAAAAAAAAGGTTTTGTGTGTAGCGCCTCAAAAATATTTTCTGAACTTTATGGTCACATGTAATGAAGGAGTGATGTTCCATTTGATGGAAACTGTCTTAGATTTGGCACTGACAGGAAAAAAAAGTCGTAGAGACCGTAAAACTGTTTTTTACGCTTTCCTACACACTTTCAAGACATGTAAACACGTTTAACTACACTGTATATAAACAAGCATGAAATGTGTCGAAAATGTATTTGTTGCGACTCCATTATTGAGGGTGCTTGAATTAAATTTTTGTCTTGACTTGTATTGTGTTAGGGTGTATAAAAATAGATTTTTTTGCAGATTATAAAAGAGCAAATATTGACTGATAATTAATCGGTTGGGCCCTCTTATGGAGTTCCATAGCTGATTGTTATTCTGAATGTGACTGGAAATGAACCTGGGCTCTTCCTCCCTACCAGACGCTTTCCAAATGATGAGATGTAGAAAGCTATGCTCAAAAAAAAAAAAAGGGGATAAAGGAAACCTGATATATGCAGGGTCACGTACGCTGAACCGTGATCTCGAGGTGCCTCATAGCAAGTGACTCCATTGTGACGCTAAACGCAAGTGCAACATCTAAGACATTAACGCTGTGCTTCCAGGAGGAGGATGAGGAAGCGGTGGAAGTGGAGGAGGTGGAGATTGTCAACGTAATACAGCAAAAGCCACCGCCGCCGGCCATCGAGAAGATCTCCCGGACGGAGGTGAAGACCGACCTGAGCGAAGCCACCAAGATGGACACGCGCTACTTCGCTGCCTTGCTGGCTGACGTCTACAGGAAGAACTGCGACATCCATTCCTGCATCTCCGAGCACGTGTCCAAGATTCGAGGACAGTAAGTGGTGCGCACTTTGCAACGACATGAAGTGAAACGAATGGAAACTAGCCAGCAAACTGAAACGTGCTGAAATGGTCATCCTACTGGACATCACAATACAGTAATTATAATAACACAAGTACTTTTTGTTTGCTTGCTCCATTTTGTGTGACAGGACAGTGGATCTCGGTGTTGACCAGGTGCGTTAGCCCCATTCACAGTTAATGTATACATTTTTTTTTCCTAGATTGAACACATTCATGGTATCAATAATAATGTGTGTACTTAGGTGGAAGATGTTGAGGCTATGCTCCCTAAAGGAGCCACCGAACTGACCAAACAGCAAATTCGCTACCTGTTGCAGGTGGGTTAGCAAGAATCACGTGCTGAGATCAGCATCGAGCAAATTCTCAACAACTTTGTATATGTGCGGGTGTGTAGACTCGCCTGACTGCGGATAAGAGCATGCGTCTGCTGCTGTCCACCTTCAGCAGCCTGAGAGAGGAACTCCTCCACATGTCCGAAGACCTGCGGGTAAGACCAGCAACACTTCAGTCCTCGCTCGTTTTCCCATTAGGCACACCGCCAGCAAGTTGCCCTGGAATGTGCGCCTTTTCCAGCGTCTGGAGAGCGAGAAGGAGGCGCTGGAGCGAGATCTGGCCTTCAAAGTGGATCAGGCTCGCCAGTACGACAGCCTCTTGGAAGAGGTTCGCGAAAACAACAGACAGCTTCAGGTAAGAACAAGTCCTGAAAGCCGAAAGGCGGATTTCCGCTCGGGCTGTCGCAAGCACTTTTTTTTTTTGTATTGATTACTCGATGAAAGGAGGTGAAATCGAAGAGTATGTAAACCTTAAAACGGGCATCTATTCTCTCTATTCTGACGGCTCAAACGGCGCGAGGCTCGACCGTATGAACTTTAGCAAGCCGTTACGCAAAGGGCTC